GTACCTTCTCAATACCGTCTTTAAAAACCGCTGAGCGTTTCCAGTCCTGGTGGCTTTTGGCCACACAATCAACTAAATTCAACGGAGCCAGTTTCTTTGCATCGCTAAGACCCAGCTTATTGTCAAGAGGACGTGAGGCATCTGCTTTGATAGCGCGCCTCAGAATATCGATCCGGTTATATTGCGCCTCAACCGCGACAGCAAGACTGCCAATCTTCTTCCTAACCCGAATTTCTGCTGCACTTCTTCTGTCGCCCTTGAAGTCCGGATGAAATAGTTCAATCTTTTCCATTTCGATCTCCTGTTCATATTGCCAAATGTCTTTCTCTATGTCGAAATAGTCCTTCCTTTCACCGATCTCGATACAACCGAAGTAGTGGAGAATAGGGTCACGGATATCTTCCGGATCATGTAGCTGTGCCGAGAGGCATGTTGGCTTGATATCGTGCTCGCCCATAGCGCTTTTTGAGATGGATATTGCGGGCAAATGGTTATTCAGCGGTACAAAATGCACGAGAACAGCTGCACGTGTAGATCAAGCCCTTATAAGAGGAAAGGTCAGTACTGAGACACCGAATTACATGTAAGCCACAGCACTAAGCCCAAGGAACCCAGGGGCCGGATATGAGCATGGAGTGTGCCGGGCTTGGCAAGCTGTCTGCGGCTCTGTGAAGTTTAGGTAGTGTCTGTTGAAAAATTGTGAAGGCCGAAGCCATGGCTTTCATTGGTTTGGACTACTGGACTGGTTCGCAGAATGTGTGCCCCAAAACAGAACACCGGCTCGCCGGTGGCTGGCCACTGAGCCAATACAACAGGGAAGATGGGCACTAGGGGATGAGATATTTCTTTCTGTTCTCAGCTCTCGAGTCCATTTCCTAGGTTCATGCAATGGGTGGTGCATCCACTCTCAAATGCAAAAATTTGACGGAGAAGGTGGCTGGATGCGGTAAGTACAGCAGGGATTGTTACAATCACCTTATATGAAGCATGCCAATTGATCTCGAGCATCACATACAATTTTTCATCAAGGGTTATCTTTGTTGTGGGAACTGGCTCGCGAGGCTCTGCTGCACTCCTTAATCGGGCAGGTGTTCGAGTAGAGGTCTGGCTCTTGGTACGCTGTCCCCTGTGTCAATGTGATGTATCTCCTGAAGCACTTCCCCATCTGTTTGTGTTACCCTGAGTCTGGATAGAGCCAATAGCGCTCAAAAAAAAATAAAAAATAAAAAAAAAGGCGTCTATGTAGTATAACCATAGGATCAGTGATCTGTAGGACATCCAATGAAACATACACGAATCTCGGCCAGTCCGAACTACATGAGATCAAGGTGGATGCGACAGAAGTCGAAGGTGCGGGCGGACGGCGCACCACTCATGTTGTAACCTCCAAAGACGGCCTGAGCGCTTTGGGGGCGGATTGCACACCATCTCTGGCGCCACATCTGCACGAAGAATACCTTGCCCCCACGAGAATTCCTCTCCAACAAGCCTAATCACCGTAGACCCTGCAATGAACAGCCATTATTGCGTGCCGATAGAGCCGCCTTGCAAGTCCAAGGTTAGGAGGACAGGGAATTGCGATAGATGAATGGCAGCGTGGCGCATGCCGGGACTGTTCAGCACATGACTAGAAGCCATTCAGCTGGCTTTGGCAGTCTCCAAAGGCTCTTGGGACGGTCAACGGTAGAGTAATCATAAGGTGATATGCAATTAGAGAGTGACCGGAACTGTAGATGATTTCTCTCACTCATGTGTTGTTTGCTGATTTTCAAGTGCACCGTTTACCCGTTACTCAGTGTTTGGTCCTCGTGATGGACCCGGGGGTGGCGGTGGACCTCTGGATGGACCTTCACCATGGTCGTCTTCCTCAAATCTTTCAACAAATCTTTCTTCAACGTAGATTCTCCTTGGCGCGGCCGGCGGCGGAGGCGGTGGGGCATACGTTCTAGTATTCACTCGTATTCCTGCATGCCCATCTGCCTCTGGTCGCGGAATGTGGGCATGCGGGCGAATTCCGCTGCGAGAATACATCAGATTGCTACTTTCAGTCCTTTGTTGAGCGGCTGGAGAGCTGTGTTGATGACGGCGGCGTCGATAAGTCGAAGCTCCTAATTCGTAGGCTGGTGGCGGTGAGGATGATCCTGAAGAAGACGACGACGAAGCCCGTGTACTGTGGGTGCGTCCAGCTTCTTCCCTATATGCATGGGAGGTTCGTCTCACCCTCTCATGGCGGCTTTGATAAGCGTGGGTTTGATTTGTATTATGACCCTCCATTCCCCTTGACTCTTGTCGACGAACGCGTTTCTCCTGATAAGGCAGGCGAAGAACTGGCGCTCTGAATTGGCCACTCTTCACGCCATGACCGAGATTCACGACAGAGCTGTAGGCCCATAGACAGAACCCAATACTTATGAGTAATACGGCACTTCCTGATATGAGAAACCATACTGGATCGGAGTCAATGATGCTGAAGATCGCCTGATTTCTTGCCGTCAGCTCATAAATAGTCAAAGGCTAAGTCTCTCGAACCCACAGCTACAAAGGCAATCGGAGTGAAGAGGACAGTAAAAGCCGTGAACCACATCATAATGAGATTGAGTCTCTCCCCCGATAGATTGAACTCCTTTGAAATGGAGTTAGTAGAACTGTGTGTGAAAGGTGACAATATGGCAGCACACTCACAAGATTCAAAGCTGCTTCGCAGCGATCTGATAGAGACTCTAGACTTGTCTCAAAATCCTCCAAGCCTAGTTCTATTTCGTGAAGCATCCGTAGAAGGCTCGTTCTATCTCCACCTTCACCTAGTCCAGTCTCAGGAATGATCTCAAGAATGATCTCAAGAATGGGTATGGCCATCTGTGCGGAGGTTTCTTCGAAGAAATTGATGGACGCAACTCACTCTCGCTAATCAAGTGCCCCAGTCGAGTCAGGGCTCCCTTGTGCATCAATATGTCTGGAAGACTATATGACATTGACATCAGGCCATTGTTGAGTTGGTAGGACCTTCCAAATATGCCGTAAAGATTTTTTTCCTGGTTCGACGTCTAAGAGTATCTCAACAATTGTCTCAAACTGAGAGCAAATACATTGGAAACTTACAGCTTCTTCATAAAGTCGTTCAAATTGATAGAGAATTGTTTTGAAATTGTTCAAACAGTCGTAGAGAACAATGTAGATGAAGAGAGGATTACGTCTAATTTGATCAAGCATCTCTGGTTTCCTATCAAAATATCGCCTGAGGCACTCGGCCAAGTCACGAACATGATTTGCTCGGAATACTAGGACGACAAGAGGTGATGTGTTGAAGTTGGAACCCCGATCAACTTTGTCACAAATCCAAGTGCCTACTGCTGTTTCACTTTTAGAATCCCCTAGAGAGGTTCACGTTAGGGTTGACGTTTATAGAAATTGAGAATGGAGCATGCAGTACTCTCTATACGTTGGTGGTCCACCACACCCTCATACTTGAAAATCTTGCCGTCAAGGCCACGAAACCTCATGACCGACCAACTGTTCTTAGACGCTGAGTCTGAAAATGTTCGCTGCGGAAGCTGAGTGAACCCGTCAGTGCCGACATAATCAGACATGCCCACCGGAAAGTGCAAATCCGCAAAACGTCTCTCCACAGCACCGATGGAAAGATCATCGTCTTGTCGAATAGCCCTATTCATTGTCCGGTCAGCCTCTGCTAGTCTTAAACTATTGACGGGACCGGTCACCAACAAGAAAAAGAAAAGAATATAAGCGGCTTCATCAACGATAGATATCAGATGCCCCTTAGAAATTAACTTACAGAATGGCAAGGTCCTCTAAGCGGTTCGGAAACGCGTTACCAATATTACGCACCGTGCAAATCTCACCCCTTCTTCTTCCTGGTTCTAGAAGAGATATCCCTGCCATGAGTCGAGAGAGAGAAGCTTGGTGTTCATGTGTTACAAGTAGTTTGGCGTAGGTTCCGCAATTATTAGTTTCAAAGGAGGACAATGGTGTGCGCTCTTGCAATCTCACATCCGGGCCGGCTCGATTGCCGCACCTTATCCAATATCGGCTTACCCACATCACGTTACAACTTACTGCAGGCGGCTCCTGGGAGCTGCAGTCTACATCACTTACCGAGCTGGAAGAACCTCCGACATCTGATTGGCGAAAGTACGCTGTAACGACACTACCACAAAGGTTTACCGAGTCGCAGGCTCGCAGATCTGGGCTCTTCATCTCTTCGATGTGGCCCTCGCAACAAAATAAATGCTTCCTAAATATCATTGCAAAAGCTGAAACCGCGAATCAAGCGCAGTAGTGTACCTACTGAGTCCAACATCCTGCTGCATAGCACCCATGGTATGGGAATCTGAAGGATTGCCGAACCGGTAGGGACTGTACGACCGTACCCCTCCGTACTCGCTGCTGGGTATCCCTCAGCTTGCCGTCGCTGGATAATACACTCAAGTAGGCTCTTCACTTTTCACATCTTCACGGCCCGCCTTTTGTCGACATATCAAGGAACTTCTCAAAGGCCCAGAGTTGAGCTTGTCGGCGAGCTTCTTGTCAGTTCATATCAGGCCAGATCTTGAATCATTCTTCTCGGCCACCCTTCGGCGGTGCCAAGTGCGGTCTAGAGAGCCTTTAGAGTCTTGGAGAGCCGCGTTTACCCACAAACAGGACGAGCCTAAGCGAACTTTTGTTGACAGGCGGGCTTAGTGAGCTCCGAGCAGCGCTGGCCCCGCCATTCAGAGCGGCTTCTGAAGAGCTCTTCCCTGTCATCGGCCATGACTCAAGGAGCTAGAGAGCGAAAAATTCGCTCTGCAGGTCTTCAAACCACACCCATCACGCATTTTTTTAGAGCAGTAGCTTAAATAAAAGCATAAAAGGGTCTACTGCGGACATCTAGTCCCAACAGATTGGCCCACCATGTTCGGCTACTCGCTACATCTTCCTCCTTCCAAGGACATTCAGTGATTAACCAGGGGACGACATCGTGAAGACTTACATGCAGAACAACGATGGCGGAGGAGAAACAGACACAGCCAACGCTCTCGAGCGGCAACGTGGCGGGGCGCAATGACGCCGATACAGAAGCAAACCCCGCGCCGGCCGCTGCCGAGCATGTCGCCGCCGATCAGGACGTTGCGATAGCTATGGTGGGCGTGGAACAACACGCCATCGACCCGGCGGTCGCAGCCCGAGCTGTGCGCAAGATCGACTTGTTCTTGATACCTGCTATGACCGTCGGTTATGGCCTGGTATACTATGACAAGGTATGTTTGTTTGTTACCAGTCCTCCTCTTCAAGCCTCCCAACTTTGTATCAAGCATTCGAGCTTGAGGCTGATGGGTGGCAATGCAGGCCATCCTTGGATCTGCCGTCTTGTTCGGCATGACCACCGACCTCGCCCTCTCCGTGACCGACAAGTCCACCACGCCGCCCACCGTCGATACCTCTCGTCTGTCGTGGGCGACCTCCCTCTTCTACTTCGGCATGCTAGCGGGACTCTATCCGATGACTTTTCTCCTACAACGCTTCCCAATTGGCCGCACACTCGGCTCCATTGTCTGCCTCTGGGCATTGGTATGCATGCTCACCGCGACTGTCACCAGCCACGAGGGCCTATACGCACAACGCTTTTTCCTCGGCTTCGTCGAGTCTGTCATTCCCACTGGGTTCATGTGCATCGTTAGCGGATACTATACACAGTCAGAACAGTCTCTAAGGCAGAGTTGGTGGTTCAGCAGCACTGGGTGGTGGACAATCATTGGAGGCGCATTGAACTACGGGTTTGCGCAGATTACCGGCGGAGGGCTTCAGCGGTGGCAATACATCTACTTGTTGGCCGGGTCGCTTACATTCCTGTTTGGTCTGTTCTGCTTCGTCGTGCCAAACAGCCCCGTTAGCGCGTGGTTCTTGACCAAGGAGGAGAGATTCGCGGCTGTCGAGAGGTTGAGATATGGCCAGACCGGTGTTCGTTGCACAAAGTTCAAATGGAGCCAATTGAAAGAGGGGCTCCTCGATGTCAAGATTTGGCTCATCTTTTTGATGATGGCGTCAGCGTAAGTCTCTCTGCTTGAGCCACGAGTGGAATTGCTTGTCTAACAGAATTCTAGCTACTCTGTGAATGGCGCAGTCTCAGGCTTTGGTCCGCTCATCGTGTCAACCTTCGGCTGGAGCACCCTCGATTCCATTCTATTCCAGTTCCCCCTAGGCGGAATCTGCCTGATCATGATTCTGCTCACAGGATATTTGGGCTCACGCTTCCCGAACATTCGCATCATCATGCTGATTTTGTGCTGCTTGCCTGTGATTGCTGGTTGCGCCATCATCTGGAAGAGCGCATGGACGTACCGTGCTGCGGCTCCCGTGGTTGGCTACAGCATCATCGGCTTCTTCGGTGCCGTAGTATCGCTAATCATCACTATTGGCATGTCGAACGTCGCCGGGCACACAAAGAAGAGCTTCATGGCGGCGACCATCTTCGTTGCCTACTGTGTAGGCAACATTGTGGGTCCACAATTGATCAAGTCACAAACGAAGAGCCGGCATTATCCTGAGCTTTGGACTGGGTTGATTATCTGGTGAGCATTAGAGCGAATTCAGGGTGATATTTAAATGTACTAATTCGCATAGTTATTGCATCACGATCGCCTCATCTACTGCGTTGTATGTGGTGCTCAAGAGGGCAAACAAGCAGAAGGGGCTGCTAGAGCAAGACGATTCCGAACGAGCGAAGCTGGCATTTCAGGATCTCACGGATAAGGAGAACCCGTATTTCAGATACGTGTTATGAACACTGAAGCAAAAGACAATTTCAGAGTATTGTGAGTATTCTAGGTAGTGTTGAGGGAGCACCACAGACATGATAGACATATACCCAGGGACAATATAGAAGAGAAACAAATACAACAGATTCAACATCATCCATCGTTCGAGGGTATCAGTAGCAGAGAGCGCATGTGGCCTTGCCTATGAGGACATGGGCAGTTCTTTGTCCATAGAAGGGAGCAGCGTGTGTTGGTCCGAGATATACTCGGAGCAGAGTGCAACTTTCCGGCGAGGTATGAGATATCTCACTGTGGATACGGAGCCTGCTGTTGAGGGTATGTCTGCTGCGGCTGTTGATATACCTGCGGGGTTTGTTGCTCGTACGTTTGCTGTGGGTACGGCTGCTGAGGGTATGTCTGTGGCTGCTGGGCTCCCATCTCGGTTCCTGGCGCTGGCTTTTCGTGTCCTGCGACACCCGCCTCTGTCTTTCGATGGCTTAGGAGAGCCAGAACTTTGTGCAGAGCTGTTAGCTTGCGGCCGAACCGCTAATAGCTCCCTACTCTGGATTGTAGGTATTTGACGTACCAAAGAAGACAAGCGTCACAATGAACAGCAGCCATTCCAAAGCGCCTAGGCCTGCCGCCGCTTTGACACAGTCTATAGCTCTCTTCGTCTTGTTGATCTCACTCTTGACGTCGTTTGGGAGATAGTCACTATACCCAGAATAACTACCCAGGTACTTCTCCGCCTTCGCGAGGTCAGAAGCGTTGTGCGCAAGGACAGCCCAGCCAGCGAGCCAAAGCACAACGGTCAGCCCCTCAGCAGCGCTGTACTATGTGTTAACAAAAGTGTTCGAGCGGGAGCCTATACGCAAAAGTGGGAATTGTGACAGGACAAAAAAAGTATTACTTACACATGAGCCCAGTAGTTGTAGGCAATGGGGAAGAAAAACGTGCTAATGAGTAGCCAGCCGAGGAAAAGGAGCGTCCATGCGAAGAGGAAGAAGCTGAATGCTAAGTAAATGGTACGTCAGCCATTGTAATCAGTTGCCGGTGTCATCTCCAAGAAGTTGGCAGCTTACCGAGACCGTCAAGCTGTACGAGGTATTTGTTAGCCGGAATAGGATTGTCACTACTTTTGTGATGCGACTTACAGCGGTGGTGGTACCAAATGTATCGGTTGCGTACCCAGTCAGGCCAACAATGATGATTGCAAGAACCTAGCAGCAACGCGTCAGTCATGTCTCATTCCCAATACAGATAAGGTGGACTCACGAGCTGAGCAATGCGGATGAAGAAAGTCCACAGGGGCTGGGGTGGGATATGGGATCGAGAATGCCCGTCTTCGGACTTTAAAGTCCAGAAATTTCGCTTCGTGTCCAGCGGCATGTTGAGTGTCTTCCTGAGCAAATTTTCAGTAATACGGGTTCAGATCCAAGTTTGATAGTGGAATCGCAATCTGCAACAGGTCTCAAGAATGGCGTTTACCTTGACAAGTCTGGAGGCAAGACAGCATCCTTTATGAAAGAAATGAAAGCACCCAAGACTCACCAAAGTTCGGCCCCCAATCTGTCACTCAGCTAATGCACCTCATGCAGATTTATTGGCAACAGCTGTTGTGACATGGGTGGAAGCGTCAAGTTTGGGCCTGGATGTATGCCACACCAAAGGACCCTGATTCGGCGGAGTGATGTTATTGGGTCAGCTTGGGTTAGGGAGTCTGGCTCGTCCTGGCCGGCCCATGGCTACGAGTGTCTCAGATGGGACATCGGGTAACGTGCAATCTGCTTCTATATCATACGTTGGGAAAGAATGACTGGATAAGGAGACCAGGCCTTAACGGCCAAGACAAATCAGCTCTTAAAGTGACTGTGGAAGGGCGTCCCAGGTTCCGCGCCTTGTGTTTCTAATGTGTTGTCAGGCGTATTCGGAAACATGCTCCAGGACAACAGTGTGCACTATCACAGATGACAAGGCTGGCACAGTAAATAAGACGAAAGATTACACTTTAACAGCACCTCGACCTCCTAGGTCGCAGCTCATGTCGTGCAAGAGACGCCATCTCTGGCGAATCATACAGAAGGTCCTTGCTGCATTGTCCTCTCGGCAGGGCAGATCCTCACTGGAGTCGGATGATGGACCCCTGCCTGACGGACACCAATCTGTCCGCTCTTACAGCTCCAAGTGCATGAAGGAGGGGTCGTGCCGAAAAAGGGTCATTCAACTACCGCTCCTACATGGCCGCACCTGCATCAGGTCTTCCGCTGGGATTTCCTATCTATTTCTATGTCTATTGGGATCCGCGTCCTGAATTGAGACGCTCCGCGACAGACGATGACATGATGTTCTGCAGCCTGTGAGACAGCGCGGCGCACGCATCTTATATGTCTGGAGTTCGCAATTGGACACTACCTTCAATCAAGAGTCTACAGATGATTCTGTTTCCCTTGGCAATTGCGATGTTGACCTTGTAGGCCATCGGGCAAATTCTAAGGCAGCAGTGCTCACGCTGCCGAGCCTCTCCCTCGTAATATTTCCATGCGTGCCACCCTCCCTGCTTTCAGCCCAAGCGGGGTTGCAGTCCCCGACGAGGCTATGTTTGTGTCCCACGATTCAACGCCAGTGTCTGATCTCTCAATACAGCTAGCCTTCCGAGGTCGATGATATTGGCCATGATAAGGTACGGCCACCAATAACATAGGGCGTGAACCGTACATATCCAAGCGGTGAGGGTGATCTCGTGAGAAGAAAATATTGAATTACCTATCCGTTTGACCTTCCCGGGGTGTCTGGAACGAAGTGCTTCATGAGCGTCTTATTCCCCATCCCTTCCACCCTGCTGCGGTATCTGTACTCTGCTCTCCTAGCCTTGTCCGCCTGTTTCTTTTGCGTAGCGAGTACAGCCCGTTGCTCGGCAGCGGGAAGATGCATCAAGGCGGTTCGATCATTTACGCTGAGTCTCGACAATGCCGTTGTGAAAGCAGACTCGCGCCTTTCCGATTTTGTTAATGCGCCAGTGCGAAAACTGGCAACGATCTCTGTAGCAAACGGGGCTGCGTTTGTCGACCCAGGCAGTGCAGTTGGACTTTCACTCTGGCCCGGCTGCGCTTGGGTCTGCGACCGTTGCGGCCTTGGCTGAGGTGCCGACCGGTGTGAGAGAACCTTTCCGGATGGAAGCCGGAGCGAAGAATCATCTAGTTGTATCCTGGAAGCGGCCGAAGTCTTGAGCTTTGCTTTCCTGCTCTCATCTTGCTCGTCGTCGCTTTCTTCTGTTTCTCCACCACTACCCTCGTCGTCGGATGAAAGGTAGAAATCAGCAAACTCGGAATCCTCCCTTTCCACATCGAATTTGCAGTGACCCTTGCCCATCATGTGCTGTTGTACGGCATGTACGCTGTTCCTCTGCGTGCCGCAGTACAAGCACTCGTGATATCCGAAGACGACCAAGTGCAGATACCGGACCAGTGTCTCCAAATCCACGACCAGACGGCTGTTGTTTGGTATGAACAGACCGTGGGCCCTCTGCATGTGAGATATGCTCTCGTCGAAAGATGAAGAGATGGCATTGCAGAAAAGACATTTCTTTGGGATAAACTCTGGCTGCGGCTCAGAAAAGTCATCATTCTCCGAGATATCAGATGCTCCTCCACTAGATAATCGGTCTTGTTCCGAGTCTGTTGCTCGCATTCCCTGTGTAGCCCTAGTACGATGTTGTGAGTAACAACAGTCTGCTGAGCGCTAGGTGAATCTGGCATACATGTCCTTAGAATGTCCAGGCTTGAAGCCTCTTGCCGTACTGGCATCCATGATGGGAGGTGAATATTGCACACAATTGGCCGTGGACGATGCAGCTTTCCTGAATGCACCACTCTGTGACGAAAAAACTGCCACGTCCGAGGTTGAGTCTGTGGTTTCTTGCTAGGAATAATGATAAGGTAGTGCTTATGATCGCTTTATAGGTCTTCAGTGTCCTGTCCAGTAGCGTTGTGGTCGTGCCAGCAGCGATTGTTTCATTCTGCTTCGGCACCGGACCCGAATCGCCACACAGTAGTGCGTGACTCAGGCATCTCCTTTATCAAGTCAATGGGCATTAATCGAATCTCAAGAGCCTGGCAATCATTCGAAAGGATTGCAGGTGAGTGGGAATTCGACGATTTTACCGCGCCAGAGCGACGCCGGTGAGTCACCTGCCCGCCAATTGCCAAACGGCCTTCCTCTTCGGGCGATCCGGCAATTCTGAGGCCACCGCCGGCCGCAACCCAAAGCAATGCCGGGGGCAATCTTACGGAGCCGGACTCCGAGATTCGTGGCCTAATGCCGATTGATCGGCTTGAAGGATATCCAGAATGTCAAGAGGAACCCAACGATATCAGCAAAGACACCATATGACGAAATGCCATTGAGTATGGTACACACAGACGCTCACGACTATAGCTCTTGTTCCTAACAGGTAGCTAGGGTTATAGCTACTGCGAATGTCTCGAAAATTGGTGTTGATAATATTTCAATGCTATCTCTGAATACAATACCACAAGGCCAACACTAAGACGCCAGGTGAAAACACATTTCCTGCAACTCCAATAACAGTCATATCATGCTCGGTTGTTCATACAATATTCTTCACATGGACTTCTCTGCGAAATACCTCCCACATTCACCGATGCCAAAGACGTGACATCTGCAAGCATTATAATCCGGACAGCTACAATTAGTAGCATCAGGATCAGCACGCATTCACCAACGGGGAAAATAGACATACTGATGAAATGGCTGCCCAAACCAGACATGCCACAGATGCTCCAGTAGCCTCCCGCTCGTCCTGCTATCCAGCGGCGTCTCCAGCAGCCAGTCGCGCAGCCTCAGCCACCACTCCCTACTCCGCCGCCGTATGGCCTCTCGGCTGACAGCAAACTGCGCGCAACACGGCGCCGCCAGCTTCTCAGGGACGGCCTGGCTCTTCTCCTCCGCGCTCAAGAACTCATCCAGCAGTGTCGTCAGGTGGACACTGCGCCCGGCGGCCCTGAACTCGCGCAGCTCGACGCGGTGGTCGGCGAGCGGCACCACGTTCTCGCATCCGGGGAGGCAACGCGCCGATGCGTAGCCCTGCTGCACGACGTACGAGGCGCGCAGGCTGGCGACCTCGGCGGCGCTGTCGAGCTCCTGGTGCCAGGCTCTGTGGTGCGCGTGGTGGAAGAAGACGACGTCGGGCAGGGCGTCGTAGTGCATGATGATGTAGCTTAGATACACCATGGCTTCGTTGCCCTTGTTCGCGGGCACGGAGAGGGCGGGCGACGCAGGTGGTGCATCGACGACGTACTTGTGTAAGGCCCAGTCGTACGGCACGAACGAGAGCCAGGAGGTGTCATCGGCGGATGTAGACGCAACCACAAGGGCTTTGGTGTAGCGAGGTTGGTTAGACTTAATGAATGGAGAGAAGAGCAAGCGCACTGTCACAGTAAGAAAGATGGCAAGGAGAAGAGGGCGCAGAAGAAAAGAAGCGGCAGCACGGAGCTGCCTCCTCAACGAGGAGGCGCCCATGATAGGGGAGCGAAGCTTGCGATAGACGAGGCCTTGCTCGCCAAGGGATGCAAATTGAATCGCACTAATGAGGAACCGACAAGGGAAATGGAGAGATCGCGAGAAGCCAAGAATATCCGCCAGATGAAGCTGCTCGAGCTCTCGAGCTCTCTTGAGATAGCAGCGATGGGGGACTGGCGATCCGCAAAACTTTGAGACAGTTGCTGTATCAGACACTGCAAAGAGCTCGAGGACCCTGAAGAGCGATGCCCATTGCGCCAATCGAAACGAGAAGCAGCAGGCAACGTGTTTCTCGCATCACAGCTCAACCAACTGGCCAGTGTTTCCTTGCAATAGTTTCTATTCTAGATGATGATCATTTGATGTGTTGCGTAAAAGAGCCGGGACCAACTCCGGCACTTGTAGGTGTTCCCAGATCCTACCTAGCCATTATGATGGGGGCTATCTCTTCACCACCATACGTTGAATCCGACGTATATCTAGCATTGCGAGGCCTGTTTCTAGAAGAGATCTAGAGCTCGACTATGAGGCTTCCCTTGGATGAGTCTAGTCGCCGAATATGCTGTTGTGTTGTCGGCAATCAAAACATCCCTACCTTACCTAGGTACGTAAGTGTATTAGGAGCGGGAGAATGTGAAGTGTGGGGTTGGTGTCGCTGCACAGCCGCTGAAATCTCCCGAATGCCGAGCAAAGAGACTCCTCCTCCAGTGTTATAGTGGAGTGACCGCGGCGGGTAATCGGGGTCACGGAAGACATCACGCGACGCTCTAGTATTCCCTCAGCTCTGAATAGCTTCTCCAGGTACAAGCTTCCACTCCTGTGACATCGCTTGTTCACAGCCATTGAAGCTATCGCCGCGACTCAATTGACTCATCAGCCGGCCAAGCAAGAGGAAGCAGAGAATTCCAACATACAGTCACGATGGGCCTCATCAAGAAGACGTTCTACACGGGCGTCCTCGGCACCAGCGCCCTGGTCGGCTACCTAGCCACCACCACCAGCATCATCTGTCCGCTGCCGCGCAACGACCCTATCTGGACCTCCAAGGTCTACAGCAAGTACAACATCCAGAAGAACCCGTCTACCCAGGATGTGTGCATCAAGCGCATCCCTCTCAGCAAGATTCGCCCCGAGCTATTGCAGAACGAGGGCGACCTGGCCGTTGAGTTCTGCCGGGGAGTCTGGAGCGGATGGGGTGAGTCTCTCATCTTCTCCGCAAAGCTCTCCATTCATCATTGGATTGGCTGACACGATACCCTCTCTTCACCAGGCTACGCCATCCAGCGTCGATATCTCTCCCGCAAATACCAATCCGAAACTCCCCAGCAGCTATGGAGCCCCCAACAGCTCGCCTCCTCGACCTACGAGCAAGGCACCGCCATAACGGACCACTTCGAGGTGGTCGAGAAGACACCGACCTCCATCACTGTTCGCTGCGGTGACTCCCCAAGGAAGCAAGAGCCGCGCGACTCGGACGGCCTGTTCGTCATCTACGCAGAAGTGGACCGCGAGCGCGCCGAGGTCGAGCTCGGCCTCAAGAGCTGCTTCTTCATCAGCGCCCGCAAGGTCGAGGGCATCGTCGGCCCTATGCCCGTCTGGATGGAGAAGCTGCACACCTGGTACAGCCGGGTGCTCATGGCCAGTGGCGCGAGCAAGGTGATGCGGTAGATAAAAGGACGAGGAGTGAAGAGAGGGTGGCAAGGATAGAAAGCACTGCGGGAATAGATTTGGGGAGGATGATTTGCAATGTTACTCCAGAGGAAGAGCAGAGGGGTGGACGGATGTGAGGCGCGATGCGCCTCATCGTGATGGAACACACGTGAAGAACATTTCGCATCTGGTGTACATACAGACTTACATTTGCCTACATATGCTCTGTCGTTGAGAGAAGTTGCTGGAATAGATGGCGGCAGCAACTTGGCTGCTCGCATTTCTTCAGATTGCTTATGCTGTATGCTTGAATAATGAGCTCATCCTGCTCTCTTTCAAGATCGGAAAAAGGAAAGTTCCATGCAGTAAATTGCCGTCATTGGACTGTTGCTGGTGCAGTACCTACCGACCGCACCTTACGCAACTGGGGAAGTGATCGCGAACCACCGGCTAGTTCAGTAACTTTGTCTGCTCAAGGTCCGTTCAGAGCATATCTCTTATCATAGAGCGGATCACATGTGCTGAGTAGGTGAGGATACTCCCGGATCGGTATTTACCTCAAACTGCTTGGTCTCAAGCGATGCAGCTCGACGTATCAATGAGCGCAAGTATGCCGAGTGGCGTTCTGAGAATCTCAATCCGAGATCGCAGAAGGGCTGATCCGTTTTGCTCAAGTTTCTCCAAATAACTTCCCTATCCAGCGACCCAAGATACCTGGGGACCCTCTTATGAAACAGGTCACTTTGGAGAGCAGCAAACCACTACAAAGAAGATGCCGGGTTTGGCTGGACTGGTAGACTTATATCGTTCTGTCATCTGCTCCAACAAACGACATGACAACTTACATTACACCTTACAACTGCGAATGGCGGGGTCAGCCGAAGCGTCAGATACCATGGACAGACGCTGATGTGGAAAAGGTGTGCGATCTCTCTATTACCTGTACGTACTGGAGTGGTCAAGTTAAGCCTCTTCCGGCATGTCCACCCGGCCCCACGGCGGTCGACGCACCTTAGCACGCTGGAACGCACACACCATCGGCAAAGCAGGACCCTGATGGGCTTAGATCATGGCCGTGGGAAGTCTAATCTATCAATCTAATTGCACCAGACCTCCGGGAGAGGGACAGAGGGGCAGACAGAGAGAGGGGCAAACCTGGAACGGGACACGCCAACCGTGGGGCTTTGTCAGAATACGCCGGCTCTGATAAGAGTTGGGGACGAGTAAGTAATGTGGGTTAACTAATGGAAATATCATGGACTTGAGAGACCTGCTCGAGAATTATAAGAGAAACGCAGATATCAGATTCCCCGTCTGATAAAGGGAGAAAGAGACATCCGAGGTAACTTGGAACATTGTCGTCCTCCTCCTCTCTTTCTCTATCACGCATATGGTCAACAATATCAGCGAGAATTATACACCACATACGCATTCTTCTACAACGGTGACCACTCAGCATCAGCTTCCTGACGGTTGCGCACAATTGTCCGACGCTGATGAGATTCTTGATATCTCGGATCACTAACAAGAGCTAATCAGGATCCTCTGCATACCTACCTCGAGGTTGTGTAGCGTTTCTGAACACACTACGCTCCTTGGTATATCTTCCTCAGTCGCTGTCCATCATTTATTTTGCACTTCTCTATTATCATCCAACATACATACTTTGAGGCATTTCAACCCGCACTCCACCTGAACTCCAATTACACGGCATGTCTCCCTCGGCGGTTGAGACAGACCCGCCTGCCCCGGTCCCTAACGGAGTCAATGGCAAGAAGGTCGCACATGCCACCAATGGCACCAACGGCGCCGATAAGCCGCCCGCCTACCAATCCCATCCGCTAGGCCCCCTCACAGCGAAGGAGATCTCACAATCATCAGCTCTGATCAAGGGCCAGTGGCCTGAGGGCACCCTCTTCCAATTTAAGGTCGTCACGCTGCTGGAGCCGGCCAAGGCCGAACTGATCCCGTATCTCTCGGCCGAGAAGTCTGGTCAGACACCAACGGATATTGACAGGAGGGCATTCGTCGTATACTACCTCAAGAACACGGTCAGTAAACCCCTGCTGGTATGGAAATCGCATGTGCTGATAATGCTATCCAGGATAAACTCCATGAGGCAGTTGTCAATCTCAGCAACAATGTTGTAGAGAGCAATGTTAGGTTAGGGCCTTTCATCCATGCCAATGGAGATGGAGAAGAGATTGTTGCCATTGAGAAGGTCCTACTCGAGCATCCCGATGTCCTTGCGGAGTTGGCCAAGCTGGAATTGCCGGAAGGCTCTGTCGTGGTGTCAGATCCATGGATTTATGGTTGGTGCCTATCTCTGCGACTACACTCATGACTATCACTGACTATGACAGGCTCTGATGGTATCAAGGAGGGACTGTTTTATGATGACAAGCGTCTGATGCAATGCTTCCTATATATGCGCGATCCAAACAACTCTTCCGAGCCAGACAGCTGTCACTACGCGTTTCCACTGCCTATCTCACCCGTCATCGACCCGGCCACACTGGAGCTGATCCGTATTGATATCCTGCCAACCGGTCTCGACAGCAAGATTGAGCCCATCAAGCCATGGCAGCCAGTCCCAGCCAATGAGTACATCCCCGAGGCGCACAACATGCGTCCAGATCTCAAGCCTCTGCGCGTGGTCCAGCCCGAGGGCGCCTCGTTCACCGTCGACAAGTACTCTGAGTTGGGCCACACCATCTCGTGGCAGAAGTGGCAGTTCAAGGTCGGCTTCAACCAGCGAGAGGGCATGGTGCTTTACGACGTGCATTACGACAGCAAGCCCCTCTTCTACCGTCTCTCGCTCTCCGACATGGCCATCCCATACGCCGATCCTCGACATCCGTTCCACAAGAAGGCCGCCTTTGATCTTGGCGATGTCGGCGCCGGCATCATGGCTAACAATCTCAAGCTGGGTTGCGACTGCCTCGGCTCCATTTACTACATCTCGGGTGTGCTGCCGGACAGCAATGGCGACCCGGTGCCATATCCGAACGTGATCTGCATCCACGAGCAGGACTCTGGCTTGCTGTGGAAGCACACCAACTACCGGACGAACCGGGCGTGCGTGGTGCGCAACCGCGAGCTGGTGCTGCAGACGATCCTGACGGTCAGTAACTACGAGTACGTACTGGCATGGGTGTTCAACTTGGCGGGCGATGTGACGTACGAGGTGCGGGCGACGGGCATCCTGTCGACGCAGCCGGTGGACCTGGAGCTGTCGCAGACGCCGCACCCCTACGGCACCGTCGTGCACCCGGGCGTGCTGGGCGGCTATCACCAGCACTTCTTCAGCCTGCGGGTCGACCCCATGGTCGCGGGCCACGGCAACCAGGTCGTGTTCGACGACGCGGTGCCGCTGCCGCGCGACCCGGTCGAGAACAAGTACGGCGTGGGCTACACGGTGCAGCGCACGCCGATCACGACGAGCGGCGGCTACGACCTGGACGTGGCGCGCAACCGCACGTACAAGATCACCAACCCGGCGGTGCGCAACGCGGTCAACGGCGCGCCGGTGGCGTACAAGGTGATGGTGCCGCCGATGCAGGCGATGCTGGCGGATGCGGAGAGCTACCACCACCGGCGGGCCGAGTTCGCCGACCACAGCGTGTACGTGACCAAGTACGCCGAGGGCGAGCTGTACGCGGGCGGGCTGTACACGAACCAGAGCCGGGGCGGGACGGGCGTGCGCGCATGGGCGGGCCGGCAGGACAGCGTCGAGGGCGGCGACCCGGTGCTGTGGGTGCAGTTCGGCATCAACCACATCCCGCGCATCGAGGACTTCCCCGTCATGCCGGTCGAGATGCTCAAGGTCATGCTGCGGCCCGTCAACTTCTTCGACAGGAACCCGGCCCTGGACGTGCCGCCGAGCAGCCAGGAGGTGAACCAGAGCGTGGGCCTGAACAAGGCGACCGAGGGCTTGGGGGGTCTGAGTCTGGGAGGGCAGGATGGCAAGATGGCTGACTGCTGTGCCACGCATGGTGCTGTGTGAGCGTCAACGTTTGGAGAGGAGGAGAGAGGGACATCGAGGAGCATACGGCAGCACCTGCATACATGATGAGACTGGGAAGCGTAGTCTTAGGTTGGGGGGAGTGGTGCAGAGACGGGGCGTACTGTAGCTGTCCATGACACTGTTGCATGATTTCTCATACTGCCATGACTATTTATTCATCTACCTAGGTACTCATGAGGAGTCTTCTTGGTGATCTTGAATATGAAGTTTCGGATATGACATGCCTTTGTGAAGCACGTGGGACTGGATGAGGACTCTTGTGAGACGACAATGTTGATTACCTATAGCAGCAGATACACGACACCTTACACCTTATACTTGTTATCCTCATGTAGTCATCGTAGGACGCGAATTGCCTACCAACTATATTGTTGAGCAGGCCCTCGTGTCGATGAGTTATCCTATCAGTCAATGTAGGCATTCCGAATTGATTACCTGTCTACCCACCCGGGTACCATGTCTACCATGTGTACTCTTTGGGTGGTGCCCCATCCCCCACTTGAACCCCATCTTGACCGACTTCGCCACCCCATTTCTTCCTCTTCCTCCTTGCACATCTACTGTACCTATAGGTACAAGCAATCGTACAAGAGCCATCGCCTGCGTCGCTGTGCGTATTTATTCACCCCTCATATTGACACATTGCGGGGTATCTCTCCGTCCACCGACTTATTCTACCCCTCCCCGGGGGCACTTGAAGAAGTAAACTTCTGCTAGACTGCATCACAGTACAATATCAACAGCAGCAACACAAAGTCGAAGCCAGCCCTGTGCTAGCAGCCACCATGGGGATAATACACATTGTCATGTTCTCGTTCCAGCCTCTGGCCACGCCCGAGGAGGTCAAGGGGGTATGTGTTTCTGTTCCCGGTTCTCTCGATCCGTACATGTACCCGAACCCACATGTCTCACCGGGCGAGACATACCGAAGTCCAGGGCTTGTAGGGCTAACTAAAGTCATGTCAGGTCTGCAACGGCATGCTGGAGCTCAAGGACAAATGCCTCCACCCGGAGACGAACAAGCCGTATCTGAAGATGGGAATCGGCGGCATCAACAACAGCCCAGAGGGCATAGGGGTAAGCCGAAGTGCATCTTCAATGTCATATTGCACGGGCAATTAACAGTCTGACACTGATATGCAGGGCGGCATCACCCACGCGTTTGTGAGCGAGTTTGACAGCGAGGAGGACCGCAGATATTATCTCGAAAAGGACCCGGCGCATCTGGCCTTTGTCAAGAGCATCTCCGGTGTCGTCTCCAAAGCCCAGGTCGTCGACTTCAGCCCGGGCGTCTTCCAGCTCTGATCTTATAAGCAAGCGCTTTCACTCTCTTGAAGGGACAACGAACGGTATGTCCAGTGAAGAGGAAGAGAGGCGGGGGCAGTTTGGGGGCGAGATGCTACCTGAACGAACAACTGTCCGTCCAAGTCCTGTACAAAAAAAAATACAAAAAAAAAGATGCAATACCGTATCTGATCACAGATTCCTTGCATTTGCATAGGTTGTGTCGCAGTAACGTCGAACAAATTGAAGCTTGTTATACTTGACTCAAGCTCTGTCATTTCCTAGATTCCGGATAGCTTCATCTTCATTGTATCTCTTGCCGTGTCCATCAGCTCTTTCCTTCAGGGTGTCACCTGCCGCACCTAACTAAAAGGTCGCTAACTGGAAAGCTTATTACCCCGCGTGGAAGGTGCGTTTTCAGAAGTACCAACGCTACGTCATAAGCACCAGGGGGTACCGCACCTTCCTTCCCGCCCACCTGCACCTCCAGGGCTGCACCTTCCCAGGCTCAGGCAGGGAAAAGGCAACAGCCTCATTCGCTCCTTCCACTCGCCGGCACAGTCACCGTATTCGTTCCTGCCTTCCCACCTGCAAGATATACCTTCCTACCTACCTACAGTAGGTACCTCCCTTTATTCATTATCACGAGCCACCTCATCTATTTCCTCACGAAGTGCGATAGCATCCCCAATCCCGCGACGACAACGACAATATTCATCGCCTGAAACATCAATAGAGTTCAACTCTCTGTATATTCCAACCTGCAAACTCGACTGGATCTCTCAAGACGCTGTCGCGGCGAGTGGACGCCGCCACAACCAATCGTTCCACCTTACCGAAATCAACTCGACCATAGTCCATCCACGGTTCATTGCGCTTCCACTTGAGCCTCTCCAGCTTTGTATAATCCCGAGCTTATCTGCAACTTCGTCCTCCGACATTGCACACGATTAGTAGACCCAGGTAGAGATCGACCATCCACCAACCAGCGCCAACATGTCGCAACCGGTGTCACATCCCACCCTCATCAACCTTCCGCAGCCTCCCTCTAACCCGGACACTCCCTCTGAGATGCCGTGAGTCTTATGCTCCTCTCTTCGCTGTTGACCATGGCCAGGCCAGGCCAGATCATTCATTCTTTGCTAACTCGTCTGCGCCTGTCCAGCGGCACACCTACATCCACTACGACATCCCTCTCTGCTCTCTCCACGACTGCAATCAAGGATGGCCACCGAGGTCATGCTCTCCCCACAACCGGTCACCGTGGTCACCAACACCACTCCTCCACAAATAGCCTCGATGCCGAGCGCGCCGACCGCATCTCCCGACTGACCGGCCTCTCCTCCATCTCCGGGTTGCGCGCACCCATCGGCTCGCACCAGTCGCAACACAATGCCAGCCTCCAGACCACTCCCACGTCCACGGGCTTTCCCGGCAACGTACCGCCTCAGGTGCTCGGTGTCCCTGCCTACTTTGACTCCAACGGCCAGCCCGTCGCCGTTACCAAGATGAGCACCGTGGGAACCGCCTCGGCCACCGAGAGCGTGGGCGGCCGCACGGCTACCGACCTGAGCGGCGTCGGTCAGAACGACGACGGTGACCAGGACATGCGCGACGAAGAGATGAGCCTCGATACGAATTTCCGTGAGATGGACAGCGTGAGCGGATACATGGGACAAGGCCCGCCAGACATTGATCCCATGGACGAGGACCTTACCAATCGGAGCGTTGGTGGCTACGAGGACCGTATGAGCGATGACGGCTCAGCTAGTCTTGTCGGTTTCGGTGAGGGCGCAAATAGCACCATATCCGGCCCCATCTACGTGAGACGACCATTACCGGGTGGCATTGGGCTGGAGAGGAGCGCATCTGGCTTGAGCGAGGGTGCTACACTTAGTCGGCAGAGGTTTGGCGACCGTGAGGGCGGCGAGACCCCCATCAGCGTAGCCGCTGCTCTGGAGAGGCGGGATGCTCGAATGGTGGATGGTGTAGCCACAGACGGCGTTCACGTTCCTGCCGGTGCAGCTGCTGCAGACGAAGACATCTTTGTTGATACAACTACAAGGGGGCCCGTGCCTGTTGGTTCCGTCCAGCCAGGCCAACCGAGTGCCATCCGCGAGACTCAACAACCTCATTCACATCAGCATCAGCAGAGCTCTACAGCCCGAGAAGATGCTGAGCGCCTTGTTCGAGAGAGACTTGAGCGCGGCGAGTCACGGACGAGCAACACTGCAATGGGGGCCTCTGGCGTGGGCGGAGAGAGACTGGGGCGTTTCTATTTTGAAGAGCGAAAGTGAAGCTATGCAAATGACATCTCATTATGACGATCGACGTCACGGATTACAATGGGGGTTTGGAGCAGGAGAGATAAGGTTCCAGACACCAGAATCTTCTACCTCGATCTAAGAGCCACTGTTTGAGTACTGAACTCTGGAGAGATCTTCATATGGTACATGATACATCATCTCAATGCTAGATGCTTGCGTTGCTTAGCCTGGATAGCTGAAGGGTCGATGCTTTTTGTGACTGCGTCGCGATCAGATTAGAGCAGGAGCCCAACGGACATGAGGCATGATTTCACGAACTAAGAGCCGAGACGCTTCGCTTATGCTCGTTCAGCTTTGTATTTGTACGGTCAATTGGTACGATAGTCGGTCTGTAGCAATCTCAAAGGACTTTGATTGTAGCTCTACGTACTCCCATCACGAGATTGATGTCACCTAAACCCCAGGCTTGCGAAGCTTTGATTCCAGTCACACACACCCCTCTTGATGGGAGAACCCAGCCACTTTTGGAATCACAACCCAACGCAGCAACCTTATCCCACATGATGTGCCTAACCCCGAACACCTAGTTTGAGCCCGACTACACGGCAACGCCACCGGAGGGGCATCATCCCGGTGCTTGGGACAACTTTACCAAAAGCAGGAAGCCGTTTGGGCAGCATCCTGAGAGTTTAGTGGCTGCAGCATGCGTCGATCGTGAAAGTTCCGTTGGAGGGCTCTGGTTGGTAGCCTTGTTGTTCAAGTCGGGACGGCCGAGAAAGCTAAGCATACTGCGTTTTTGTTATCCAGAGCATACGAATGATGCGAGAAGCCATCTAGATGATATTCTGAGAGCCTAACCTCTTGCTTGTTGGTATCCGAATCTGCCTTGGTCAAGCAAGACAATCTCGCTGGTGTTGCAACTTCCCGCGTTGGGCCTGGCTCTGCGCCACGATGTCCAGCAATCGGATTGAAACAGCAGTTTTATTTCCAATGAGACTACGCAACTTGCTTGGTCGCCTTTGTACCTCGTCTGAACATGTCAGACATCATAGATTGCATCCCCAATCGTGGGATGCAGGAGCATCTCAATCTTTACCCTTCACGACATGGTCTCTCCTGTCTTGAGGCCTTTTTGCTCTGCAACCTTCCACTTTTGGCTGCCGAGTGAGAGCCTGATCTCTCCAGAATGTTGCTTCAATTCTTCATATATATACCTAAAGCATCATGGATATAGATCCTTAGGATACCAATTGCTTGGCTTTCCAGGGCGGACTATTTGGTGGGCTGGTTTCTATATAACTATTCAATTCTTCATCTCTCCAAGACCATGGTTTCAGTGAATTCGCAATGGGACAGCCAAGCTACACATTCAACTTCACATATAGGCAATCCCCTTCAGGCAGTGACCGCGGAAGCTGGAACGCCTCATTCAGCGACTTCTCGCAAATAGCAAACTACCAAAATCCAGGGACCATAGAGAATTCGTCTGGCTCGCAGCCTCGGGCCTACATCGAAGGCGTCGAGGAGACCGAACACTCACCAGCGCCAATCATGAGTGACATCAATAGCTCGCTCCCTGGTTCGGAGCAAGGTGGTGAGGCTGGCGAGTATCATTATGACTGGTACGGTACCAAGACGCCTTCAGGGACTGGCTCGGTTGACGGAGATTCTTCCTCTCACCATGATGGATATACAAACCAGCCAGGAGACTGTGGCGCACCCAACTATTATGGAGAACGCCCCTACACAGACAACCCAATAGACGAAGTCTATGCTCATGAAGGTCCGGTCTACGCCCCGGGAGGCCGGAGGCCAGTGATTGCTGTCATGGGTAGAACCGGAAGTGGCAAAACAAGCTTCATTAAATCTATCGCTGGAGATAAGGCGAAGCACCTTGTCATCGGCAAGGACCTCCACTCTTGTATGTTTTCCGCTCTTCATTTCCCATAATGACCTCAACACTAAAATTGTATTGTAGGCACCCATGAGGTCGAGAAGGTGACTTGTACCGTAGGCGGCATGGAAGTCGACCTTATCGACACGCCAGGCTTCGATGATACGAAGCTCAGTGACACCGAGGTGCTAGCCCGCATTGCTGACTACCTCAAGTATACCTATGACGAAGGCATCCGTCTTACCGGTTTGATCTACCTGTATCCAATCTCGAACAACCGCATGGATGGTTCTGCAATCAAGTACCTCAACGTCTTCCGTGCCCTCTGCGGAGACGAAAACCTCGGCAATGTGATCCTTGCCACGACCATGTGGTCCAAAGTCTCTTCGTCTGAGGGCAAGGAACGAGAGGCGAACCTCAAGAACGACTTCTGGAGAATCATGATAGACCATGGATCTACTGTGGAAAGGGTCTCCAAGCACCAGGACCCCCAGAAGGACAAGGCCCTGGTAGAGCGACTTCTTCCCAAACACACAGTCGTCCTTCAGCTCCAGCAGGAGATGTCCGAGGGCAAGAAGCTGGCCGAGACCACGGTCGGGTCGTTGATATTTGAGAAGCTCACCAGGCGCGTCACCGAGCTTGAGAAGGAACTTGAGCTGACGCAGGCGGAGTCCAAGCGCGCGATCAAGAAAGGTATGCATTGGACACAATCCATCACCCCGAGATTTAGATCAGGCTACTGACCAAAACATAGGAAACAAGAAGATGGAAGAGTCCTTCAGGAAGGAGATCAAGAAGCTCGAGAAGAAGCTCAAGAGCCTGGAGGATGAGAAGATGGAGCTAACGACGCGGCAGCCGGCTCGTGTGCCGAAGAACGCAAGAGGCTTCTGGAAAGGCCTCTTCGGTATGAGCTGGACGTGTGTCTACAACTGCGGAAACCGGACAAAGTACTCCGGCTTCTGGCAGTGTGAGAATTGCGGTGGAGAACAGAACAACACGAGGTACTAGTGATCTGTTTTAACACTTGTTGGAAAGGATAATGGATTTGGTTATACTATTTTTGTTCCATCTACTTATCTAATGAAATCTCTATTTGTTCAACCTCTAGGACTTCAACAACGACACACGTTCTATCGGTCCTAAGAAAATTCATCCATCGCTTACCCTTCATCACCAAAAAACAATGTCCCAGTGATATCTACTCAGCAAGGCCCGTCTGCTTATCTGTCAAATTTCGTACTTAACCCCCTTGCCATCTTCAAGCAGTTACCATATCAACTCTCAAGCCTCTAGCTGCAGCGTCAACAGAGCTAGCAGTTGAAAGCGTCTCGCGGTGGCCCTGATCCAACTCGATGGCTTCACCAGAAGACCCGGCTGCAGCGTTCGACCTGTGTCGCATCGCAGGAACAAGCTGTCGCACGTAGTGTCCCACGCTCTTCAACTTCGGCTGATGGAATGCTTCCTGGATGTTCTCGAGGGAACGTCCACGTGTCTCGGGCATGTATGCAGCAAGGACGAGAACGGTTCCGAGAGCAAGACCGCCGAACAGGAAGTAGGCCCCAAAAGCAGACTTGTCGAGTAGGATGGGAGTGAGGATGGCAACGAGCCAGTTTGTGAACTATGGACAACAATCAGTGAATATAATAAGCGAAAGGAACAACATGACGACTTACGAAGCTGAGGCCCGAGGCAACACTGTTGGCTGTACCCCGAGTGTGCGAAGGCTGGATCTCGCTGGCATAAATCTTGCCCACTAGACCCCATGTTGCACAGTAAGTCATTCCGAAGACGAAGACAGCGACGATGACAATCCATCTCGCAACGCCGTACGAATGCACGACGCCTGCAGCATAGAGAATTCCCATGAGCAGCATGCAGCCTGAGAGGACAAAACCTCCCGAGATGGCTGATGTCCTACGTCCCCATTTGTCAGCAAACATGAAAGCCGGGATGGACACGGCAAGCATGAGAATTGCCGACACGCCTGACGCCAAGAAAGATGCCGTCGAAGATGACAACCCGGCTTGCGAGAAGAGAATTGGTGCATACTACGAGGGTCAGTATAATACAGCACGAACGGAATCCTACTTATGACTTACATAGATGACGCCGTCGATGCCAGAGAGCTGCACCATACCAAGAACGAAGAGAGCCAAGATCGTCCTCGCGCGATAACCCCTCGTGAAGAGCAGCTTGAAGCTTTGCCAAGGTGACATACTCGGACGTTGCTCAGTGGCAGTGAGGAATCCGGTCTCAGCTTCCGTCATGGAGACGTTCAGCTGCTGGAGAGCGTGGATCGCTTCGTCCCGTTTCCCATGCAACATTAACCATCTTGGCGACTCAGGCAGAATCAAACAGCTCGCACCGAAGGCCAAGGCTAGACCTCCCTGGATCACATAAGGCAGACGCCACGCCATGCTGGATTGGATGTGAACGGTGCCGTAGCAGATGAAATACCCGACACAGACGCCGGCCGTAGCCATGAACTGGGGCATTCCAGCCAGCATGCCGCGAGACTTGGCGGGTGCAATTTCAGTGATGTAGACGCTCACGTTGGTCAAGTAGACGCCTTCTCCCAAGCCTGCTACAGCTCTGCCGACGAGGAACTGAGCGAGAGTGCCTGCTGCGCCCTGCAAGATCACACCAATTCCGAACAAGATAGCGCCGAGAAGGATCGTCTTCAACCGGCCAAATTTGTCTGCAAGATGGCCCGCCATGATTGAAGGAACAGAGCCAGTCAGCATAATAAGAGAGACTGTAAAACCGAGAAGAAAAGGCGACAGCTCTCCAATGGATTCGGCAAACTGCGCCATGTTTGTGATTGCGCCGATGGACCCGGTGTCTAAGCCATTGAGAAGGCCGCCATTGGAAATAAGCACTGAGGCTAGGAGATATTTGGGGAGACGCTTGCCCTCCATTGTGTGTGAAAGGCTCGAAAGTGATATCGTGTAGCCCTGATATTGCGGTCGGGTGTGATATTTGAACACATTCATATACTCGTCAGGACGTGGCGAAGATTGTCGGTGAGTTGAGATACCACGATACGACGACTGATCTACATACGCCCTTCCCCTCCAATCCTTCCGTAGGAATGCGACGTCATTAGAGCCAGCTTTACCTTAGCATTAGGGTGACCCGCGCCGCTTTGCCAATGCCGGGCGGGATCCGAGCAACGGAGGTGGGATGATGACCGGTACTAAGCCGGCTTTAGACAGTCAAATCGATCTTGGCTGATGCGTGCTAATAATCCCCGGGTCGAGGAGCCTGGTATTGATAACACAACAATCTCAGTAGGATTAAGCAAATTCAGTTCTTGAGATGTTCATGCTCTAGCGCGTTCAGTAGCTACTTTGAAATAGTCGAAATTCAATAACAGAAAATTAGCGGTGAAGTAAATGTACGAATATTCAACGAGGTCGCATTGGTGCTACCTGACAATTCCTCTGTAATAATGGAGATGTTGATGGTTACTGTGTCACTCTCACTTTCTGTTCACAACGTGTTGCAGCTCCATAATCCTAGAGAAGCAGACATTTCACACACCTACCTAGATACTGTCGTTGATTAGCTTCAGCGATTCATTCACATAGCCTAGGCATTAACTCTAGCAACTCACTTGTCCTAGACGTCTATAGACAAAGCCCATTTCGCTTACTGATGCCTGATCTTACAAAATTTATATGGCATTTATTGTTCAAATACCTTGGACGAAGTTGGTCGACTTATACCGTCAGCTAGTGTGACAAGAACGTGAAAGGCTTCTATAGGGTATTATGTGCTCTGAGATTCACTTGCAATTGATACCACACACTTTTTGACCTCGGTGTGAATATGAGTATCAACAGTATTCACCAACCATCTAGATACCATTTCTCATTATATTCTCGCTTAACACCTTTTAGCTTCAATTTCGCATTGCTTCCCCTTCATACTCTCAGGTTGGGCAATTACCGTGACAATTACTAGGGGAAATAATCTTATTCCTTTCGAACTCGCCTGGCTACCCAGGATCCTGGTATTGATTTATGCGTGTCATTGACAAGGTCTAGGCCATGGTCTTTGGCCGATGCTAGCAAGTCTCTGACATCTTTCAGCCCCCCTTCAAACTACCTTATCTGATAAGATAGCCAAGAATGGGGAAATGGGATCCATCGTGCCCAGGTGGTGGATCGATATTCTTATCTGACGAGGTCAAAGAGCGACGACTAAAAGTAGAAATCTCTCGTATCATATCCTGTTTTAGAAATCTCTGGCGAAAGTGGCTAGATTGTTCAATACCTCCAAGCACTGACATACCGTTCGCGATAGACTTCCCCGAACCTGATAAGATCGAAATTGGTGAGTATTAGAGAAAGAATAGACTAGAGTAATCTATCCTTCATTACTCTAAGGGTGTTGTTAATCAGAATGATCAGAAGAGTTTTAGCACTATGTGTGTAAGTCATCGAAAACAGGATCAATTGACTCCCGGCCCCCTGATGCCTCGGATGCATGGAATCCTTCCGCATAACGGAGGGTTAATGACCCACAGGAGAGAACCGGGAACACGGCTGTTGTACCCCTGTTCTGTAATCCCAGTGCCGTGTCCGTATAGCGATCCGATGCTCTGGATACCGTGGGATTCGCCTTTTGTAATATGCACTACAGAGACTAGGGACTAGAACGGCAGGTTGAAGAGAAAGAGGCAGCTGCCTCCCATTCAGTAGCCAGGCCATTCGGTTAGAAAAAGGGATCTTCAGGGTTAGTCAGGGGGCAGCTGAGCACTAACAACCGTCCCCACACACACGTCTCCAGCCACTACGGGTCGTGGCGTCCAATAGCCTCGACATTGTCGATTGCCATGCACAGCCAAGAAAGCGGCATTTCTCACACCTCCCTCTTGCAGTTGCAGGGGGCGTTGTGACTGCACTGCCCGGTGTCAGAAGCTTCCAAGAAACTTCAACAGTCGCAGAAATTGACGTTTCCACGTGGCCACCGTGCTAGCGCAGGGGGCAATCTGTCACCTCCATGATCATGATGTTGATAGAAGAAGCACGTAGATGTGTCAATTGCTCGGTAATGACGGCATGACTATGAACTTATGTGACCGAGGCCAGCAGCGCTACCGACTCTCGGACGGCAAAATGGCCAGAACGAGAAGGCCAAGAGATAACATGGTGGAGACTTCATTCAAGCACAGATGTCTTTTTACTAGAGACATACTGTCATCGCTCTATGGATCCCACCAGCGACCATTGTGTGTCAGCGGCTCCCCGTTTGACACATGCGAGACATAAAGAGAAGAGATCTTCCCCTGTCCATTTCCACGTTGAAGTGACAGCTCGGCGTTCTTTAACCTACTTTGACCCGCTTTCAGATAACCAGGGCCTTATCTGGGGATGTCGATTCTTTATTGAAATGCGATCGTAGAGGGGAGCCCCCTTTTTCATTCGTCAAGTCTACGCTTTACCAGGAATCTGCAACGGATCTTCACCATGTCGCCTTTCTTGGTCGAGTCATGGACGTGGTATGCGATCACATGGCTGGTCGTGGCAGCAAGGATGTGAGTATCACTGTACGGTCCTTGCCAGAAATGTGAATGTATCAGAGTCTGACTTACTGTTAGGGCGTCTCGAGTCCTTCTTCAAGGATCATGGAGGAAGCTTCAAAGTGATGATGCTCTAATGTTGTTCGCCATGGTATGTACTGACTTACTAGCGGGCAATTCGATGTCGCTATGCAAGCACAGCTCCTTTCAATGGCTTGCTAATTGGTTATAACAGATGACAGATACCGTTTTGATGGTTAGCATCAATATCGTCGCCACAACGAGTAGCAATCTCATTGATCCGAATGATACGACTCCTCTCACGGCCGACAACATCAAGTCAAGAGAGTTTGGCTCAAAGATGGTATTGGTTGTGGAGCAAATGCAGATCCTTACGACCTGGACTGTCAAGTTCTGTCTTTTGCTCATGTACAACCGATTAACGTGGGTAGCTCTCATCACCTCGTCTCGACACGTTCTCGTCGGTTGAGCGTGGGCGTCACAATTTATGGATTCGATGAGCTAATATCTTTTACAATAGTATGAGCCTAAGACAGAACTTAGCTGTCAAATTCGTGGCAGTATATGCAGCTCTAGGATTTGTACTGATGGAAATACTCTACCTGGGAGTCTGGTGTCGACCTTTTACTCAGTACTGGGCTGTGCCCCCTGATAATGGTAAGAACCAATGCCCTCGCTTCCTGCTTTGTTTAAACTGATGTCCACTCAGTTCAATGCTCTGCCGCCACGAATCATTTGATCACAAACGCTGTGCTCAATATATCATCTGATATAATGATCATCCTAATACCCATGCCGATATTCCTAAAGGCGCAGCTGCCTGCGAAAAAGAAAGCAATTCTCTTCGGTGTCTTTGCTATAGGAGGATTCACCGTGAGTGTATAGCATCTATGGGCTAGAGAAATATGCCTAACCTTGAAGCCATCCAGATACTCTCGGCCATTCTCAACAAGTACTATTCCTTCAGCGATCCTTTTGGTCTTGACTGGGTTTTCTGGTACATTCGCGAGTCATCCACTGCTCTTATCTCTTCGAATCTGGCGCATACGTGGACTCTGTTGCGTCGACTTCTCAATCTAAGGGCCTTTGACGGAAAGTCTTCGAATCAACGATCCGGCACTAGATCAGGCTTCAGGTCCAATATCAGCAGAACACACGGATCTGCGGTAAGAGACGTGGAACCCTCGCTAGACCGATCTGGCAGTCAGGAAAGAATCAATAAGGATTATGGCATACCTCTAAAGATATACCAGCAACAGGAAGTTGAAGTTCATACCTATCCCATCACACCGACAGATCAGCATCTATCCTCGGGTAATGGATTGACGACCACGAAAGTAGTATCCCAGCGTGGCTCAAGAGACGACGAGACGTCATCTGAGATGAGTATGGGTGGGATTGTTAAAGTCGTCCATGGAATATGAGGCAAACGGGAAATTCATGACTGGGCGGACATGCTTATGAACCTAATTATCTATTCAGACTACATAATCTATGGCTCACGAATACTACACTGGTTTACCAAGCTGGGTACCTGATTTCACTCACTTACTCTCTCACTTTAGCATCACAGCTCAATTTAGGCCAAATTTTCAACCTTAAATCATCTTTAACAACAACCACACAAGCTTCTCGTCTCATCGCCTCTTGGAAAATCGGCTACGTCAAACCTCGATTTTCGAATAATTTCTTCTCTAAGTAAAGCACTTTCCATGCTCCCTACTCTTCGCTCCCCAGCACCTCCGCTTTAGCTTGGTGCCGAACTTGAGTAAGCACCCGGCTGTGGCACTGTTTGAGTTGGGCGCCGAACGTGTGTACGCGCTCACGGCAGACACCGCACCCTAATCTCAAGGTTGTTGAATTCAGGTAGACAACATTGATATTAGTTTCACTCAGCTCTCGCTTTGCCTGGCACAAAGGTTAGCCAAACACCACTCCGACCCTCCTGGGAAGTTTGGGTATCTCGCGCTGGAACGAGTTCCTTCCCTGTGCCGAACTTGGGTATACACACGACCTACCGTTCACCTCCACAGTCCCTCATATTCACTATTCTCCGGTCACTGCACTGGAGCCGCCCGCCTTTACCTTGATTATATCAGACAATAAGCCGAGCAAATCGCCACCGGAACATCAGTCTTGGCACTGCCGAATATGCCAAAATATCTCCGATCATATCATGGCGTAATCAACATCTGGGGACAAAGCTTGTCAGGATGCAACTCGTCTCCGTGGTAAAGTAGGTATTTCGGTATCGTGAGGTTGGTTTCGAGGCCGAGGCGGCTCTCTCCACGCTTCCCATGAAGGACGGGAAGTACTCTAGCGCCGAAGAAGACGCAGTTTGATCATTATTTTGGAAAAAGAACTTATTTT